TTTTATCATGTGGCCCCCTCCGAACCCTACAACTTTTGTTTGAAACATTTTTTTCGATAAAGCTTACTTTCCGAGATATTTTACAGTTTCAAGCTAAAAAACTCACCCTGTATGTATATATATATACAACATATCAGGTCTACCGGAAAGTTCTGTCCGTTTTTGGAATAAAACAAAATACAAATTTTTATTACCGTCAATAAACTTTTAGTTTTTTAATTATCCAGTTGCTGACAATACTTCTCTGAATAATGGCAATTACATTATTTAATAAAGTTTATTGACGGTAATAAAAATTTGTATTTTCTGTCCGTTTTTGGAATAAAACAAAATACAAATTTTTATTACCGTCAATAAACTTTATTAAATAATGTAATTGCCATTATTATTAATGATTTCTTGCCAGCGTGAGGGCAATTTGTATATCCCATTTTCGAAAAATGTTTTATCTTTTGATGCGAAAAATTGAACCAGTGCTTGTTTGATATCTTCTTCATTTTTGAATTTTTTGCCCCTCAAAAAATTTTGTAAGGACAAAAACAAGTGATAGTCGGTGGGTGCTAAGTCCGGGGAATATGGTGGATGCGACAGAATTTTCCAGCCTAGTTCTGCAATTTTTTGACGAGTATCCAAAGCAGCATGTGGCCTGGCATTATCATGATGCAGTATGATGTTCTTCCTATTGAACATCGGCGGCCTCTTTTCTTGGACTGCTGTATTTAAATTATCCAGTTGCTGACAATACTTCTCCGAATAATGGCAATTACATTATTTAATAAAGTTTATTGACAGTAATAAAAATTTGTATTTTGTTTTATTCCAAAAACGGACAGAACTTTCCGGTAGACCTAATATATAGTAAATCTTACTTATTTTTTATTTTTTTTAAAGAAACATGAAAAAAATAGCTAAAATGATTTTGTTTTAAATTCTTATGACATGTTTGACAACAGTAACCCAGCAAAGTAACAATAACATAATATCAATGTTATTATTTCTTATTCAACAATGTAACTGCAATGTAACATGCCTTGTACATAAGTAGAAAAATATAACATTGATATTATATTATTGTTACTTCATGTTTGCTGGGAAATAATTCTAAACTAATAAGATATCATGAGAGTATGTTTTAGATTATAGTTAATGTATGTGCATTAATAGCCTTCAAATATAAGATTTAATTTAAGGTGTGATTTATATAGGTGTGATTATATAGATGTGATTTAGAAATCTCTATAGTTTAGTCAATTTACGTGTATGTTTAGGCAATTTTGCTTTATATGTATAAAAATAATAACGTAAAAATAAATAACGTTATTTTTCTGATTAATAAGTTTGGTGAAATAAAAAATTGTATAATGAAATCGCTGATATAATGAAAATTTAATGTGCTAAAAAATCATTATTTTTATTGAATTATCTGTACTATAGATGTGACCCTCCGGTGGAATGGTGGCAAGGCAGCACTTTCTACGAGATATTTCCGGCATCCTTTCAGGACTCGACGAAAGGAGCCGATGGAATCGGCGATTTGCGTGGAATAATTATGCGGCTAGATTATTTAAAAGAGCTCGGAGTGCGAGCTATTCGATTAAATTCGATATTTCCAGCGTCGCATTATCCAGAATATTACTCGAAAATCAGTAATATGATGGACGTGAATAAAGACCTGGGTACACTAGAAGATTTTTCTGTTCTTGTACGCGAAATCCAAAAACGGAATATGAGTATAGTTCTGGATTTGCCTTTATATCCGTTCGTAAAGAACTTGAGCAATCAATCGGTATCTATAGCGAAAGTGAACGGAACTGTATGGTTTCGAGATAAGCGAGATACCGCGAATGATCGAGTTCGCGAGCCATCCGCACTACCTGCATCAGTCGAAACTATTCGTGATGTCTTATCATCTATACCACCATCGCTAAAGAAGGCGAGAAGGGAAGTATCCTCGTCGAGTCATTCAAATCACCAAGAAGATCCCATTAGTGAGGCTATCAAATTTTGGCAGTTGAGAGGAGTGAACGGTTTCTATCTACAGGGATTGGAACATTACGTCGATGAAGACACATTCGTGAAGAGCCTCATATATTGGAAGTCTCTCCTACATCCGAACAATATTTTCATTTGTCATATGGAAGTCCTAAAGACCGCTACCTCCATCAGTGCAAAAAACTCCATCCTATCTAGAATAAATTTACTTGATGTGACTCTTCGTTTGACGAATAGTACTATGGATATCAAGACACAAATAGAGCAAGTCACGAAGGGTACACTTTTCGATAAACCTGCTTACCCGTGGATACATTGGTCCGTAGGCGGTGTAAACACCAGTAGAGTAGCCTCTACCATAAACGTTAAGAACGCAAGCGTGGCGGCTTCTCTTCTTAGCATGATGCTACCTGGAACACCCAGTATATTCTACGGAGATGAGGTATGAATCACGATCAAAGTGGTTCACAACTAAAACCTAGAAAATATATGTTTATATTAATATTTTGTTTTGTGTTTTATATTTATATTTCTGGCAGCATATTGCCATGTAATTAAGAATTGCATTGTATATTATCTAGCAAACATAAATATACATATAACGATTGTACAAGAGGCAATTTGATATGTCGGTAGATGCAATTTCTTTGGGATTTAATAAGAAAAAATCATTATTACAAGAACGAATAATTGTGTTATGTTCTTTACTCAGATAGGTATCGAAGATTGTGAATGTCAGGATCACAAAGATTTGGCACACGTGCATAATCTAGTTCCTATGTATTGGGAGAAGAAGGACAGTCCAGGTAGCAGTTTTTCATCTTTAGGAATTACCACCTGGTTGCCAGAAGCTGGGAAACCCATGGAAACTAGTTTGATAGGCACTGTTAGAGAAATGGCAAGACTAAGAGCGGAAACTACACCCATTTACGTTAAAACGGTGTTAAGAGAAGGTCAAATTAAGGCAAACTGTGATGTTAGGTAAATTTTTTTGTATTTACAATAATTTTCAGACTTGAGATTTTTCTTAAGTTAATATAATCTTTAATGACTAGAGTGTACAATAGCGGTTTAAGCCATTTAACAAATGTATCATATGCTTTGCATGTGACTAGATATAATACTTTCGTTATTCTAATTGTAAGTTGTGCAGATTTTATATTTTTCTCAGTTTGCAAATTGTTTTATATTAATGTATATAACTGGCAAAAATATATATAACTTAACTTGATATTGTTTTGTTTAGATATGTTGAAGATGAAATGATCGTGATTGAGCGATGGTATCCACGAAGAAATTCCTATGTACTTGTTGCAAATTTTGGCAACGAGACGCGCATGAAGGATTTATCATTCCTTTATTATGGTGGTCATGTTGTTGTAGGACCAACTTATAGAATGAATCGAGATGTGTATTTCAAAGAACTCATTGTCCTACCCGGAGAAGCATTTGTTATAAAATTGGATAAATGAGAAAGTATGTCTCAATTAAGATATACTGCTGAGTAATGTTAGATTAAATTTTTATTTTTATTATGTGAAACAATTGCTTAATACAATTGTTACGATAGCAATTAAAATATATATACAACAATAACATTAAAAATATATAGATACCTGTCGCTACGGAATGAAAAAATATTTCTAAAAAATTTTTATATATATATCCTATAAAATTTTTTTCTACAAAATTTTTTAAAAGTTTGTAATTATTGGTTTTAATAGACATGATGTTTGGATGACTTTCATTTCGATTTAATATTGATTTCGATTTTCGAAAATTGGTTTAAGAAATGGGAGAATGAATTTTCAGCATTGATATAAAATAGCTTTGCTTCAAAAAGATGTAAATCCATGTGAAACTTCATTATTATAGATCTCGTTTCGTGCACTAAAAACACTAAGCGATGTATGAAAATTATCGGGAAATTATTTAAATATTTTATAATTTTTCAAAGGATATTAAGTGAGAAAACTGGCAAATAAGAGCCAAAACGCGGTTATTAGTGCGCAAATTTTTTGTTTCCTTTAATTTCGTTGGCAAGTATGCATTAAATATGTAAGTTCCGAACCGTTTTTAGCCTATCTTCAGCATAGGATAACAATATATAAAAATTAAATTCGTATTTATTGAACCTTACATGCGCAATATTAGTTGTTACAATCGACAATCAAATTACAATCGATAAGTGATAAGTGACATTGAAAAATGACTTATTAAAGTCCGAGTAGAGTCTGCGCATATTAGTCAACAATGTCATCGTTACGTGTGTATTTGTCGATGGTCTAAACCGTAATGAAATAATGGAGTAATGATATAGTGCCAAAATCGGCCAACCACAATCACTCCTTTCTTCAAAGGAGTAGCTGCGATTGGCCAGCTTCAAAATCATGGATGTTTTTTTTAATTCTAAGAACCACGCTTCAGCTCTTATTTGCCAGTTTTTCCTCATCTAGTATCGTTAGTATTCTGAGCCTATTGCTGTTATTATTTAATTTTTCAGACACAATTTTTGCTTAAGACCAAAATCATTGATTCATAGTAGTCAAGATTGACGTTGAGATTTGAAGTGAAGATTCTCTAACGATAAGTTGTGTTCATTAAAACAAATAATTATCAAAATTTTTTAATTATACAAAGATATAATGCTAAAACTAAGAAATTAAGAAGCAGATGAAAAAGGCAGCAACCAATTAAATCGCAATGACTAATATAAATAATGTGTTTATAGTAGCAGTATAAATTTGATTATTTTATATTAATATTTATATCAAAATATTAAGCCTTAATAAACAAATTTTTATGTAGATCATCTATATGTGAATAAAAGCGACTTGATGTGTGTGATTGTGTCTACATTGTAATTCTAAGTAATTATGCAGTTTAGGGGCGAGCTCACATATTTCAATGGCCTTGATATATATTATTAAGGATGTGATCCTGAGTAACTTTCAAAAGGTTTCAGCCGTCGCTCGTTGTTTATTAAAAATTATTAACAAAATAAGTTTAATGAATAGAACGTATCCTCACACAGCATCGAACATTGCAGTAAGATTATAGGGAGGTTACGAACTTACACATTTTAATAATCATTTACTGGTATATACCACTAACCTCTTACAATAAAACCTTACTTTGTAATATTGTCGGAAAATTAATAGAACCTTATTTCAATATTTCAGCAACTTTACGCGCAATCATTTTACTTTTCGCTTATGCCGAAAATATTATAAAACTGAAATATTGTTTAATATTAATTGAATTTGATATGCACGTTTTCATATATCCAAAATTATTATTTATTTAGTATTTCATGAGAAATGTTATTGCGTGCAATATTCCAAAAACTTTACAAAAAAATAGTATTCAGTCGCTAGTTCGTTTGTTTATCGCTATGCGACGTGCGATGCGTCCATCTCGTATTTGAGTTTCAGTCATGAGAATTATATAAAGTAAAGAGCAACTAGCAGAAGATCAAAAATATAATTATTTCTATCAGTTTAATTTTTGATACAATCCCAACATAGGGAATTCAGATATTAGACTGATTGTTTCTCAGAAATCGGGCAGATAAATGTCCGAAAAAATTAAAATCATCCGTTTATTGTCTACTTAAAACATAAAATAATATATATATATA